TGACTGTAAATCTTATTTGCATTCATATAGAACATTCTACTATTGACCATTCTGAGTGAATCCAGTGGAGGGAGCAGATGAAAAGGCACTGATGCATATGTGAGAGAGGCGTTTCCTGCACCACCCCTCTGTGGGGTGTCTTGAAGGTGCCAGTGTATTGTCTGTTTCTCAGGAGATCAAAGTATCTGAGTTTCCTGAGTTTCTTTTATCCTTACAGCAGGAATGGGATGCAATGGAGCTGCTGGAATAGACTGGTTAGGTTTACCTATAATCTGACAAACATGACATGATCTACAATACTGAGCCACATCTGACCTTACTCTAGGCCAGAAAAAATGCCGTAACACACGATCCAAAGTTTTCCTAATACCCAATTGGCCAGATAGACAATGATCATGAGCAAGATACAAAATATCAGATCGATAAACTTTTGGAACCACCACTTGAAACACACTACTCCAATCATCCTGGCTTGACATTTTTGGATCTGTCCACTTTCTCATCAAAACCCCATCACTAACAAAATAGCCAGAAGCTACATTTGATAATGTTTCGTCTGGTACCACATCTTCAAACATAGGTGACAAGGTGGGATCTTGCATTTGCTCAACTATTAGCTGCTCACGAGATGGGAACATCTTTCCAAAACATGTGAAGTTCACATCACCTTGGGCCATAAAAGTATCATAAAGTGAAATCTCTGATTGATTTGAAGAAGGCTTGCCTTCAACATTCCTCTTACCCGACATGGCACGAGTTGTAACGCAAACAGGGAATGTCTCTGGATATGCCAATTCAAGCTCATCTGGACTGTCTGGCTTGCAGGGAGTGGAAGTTACTTCAAGAACAGCTTGCACTCTACCACCAGCTAAATCGTTCCCCAAAATAAAGGACACCCCATCTATCGGTATATGGGAACAAAGTGCAACTACAACATCCCCAGAGACTAAATCAAATTGTAAATGAATATTATGCAAAGGCATAGACAAAAATCCTCCACCAAAGCCTTTAACAATTATCTCCGAACCTTGGGCTGACTTTTCATTAAAAGACAAGACATCCTGGAGAATCACAGATTGGAAAGCTCCAGTATCTCTCCAGATCTTGACAGCTTGTCTATGTTCAGGCTCAGAAGACAGACATACAAAACCATCCATTAAAAATGATGATGAGCCAGCTAACTCGCCATTCTTGCATTCCACTTTCTCAGATGGAATATTTGCAAGTGAGGATGACAGAGGTAGACTTGGCACTGGAGAACTTACAAATGCTACAGTTTTCGTAAATTTCTGATTCCTACTTAGAACAAGACAGTCTGCAATAAGATGACCCGGTCTTTTACAATAAAAACAGACCCTTTCTGAAATTGAACTGTCACTAGCCAACTTCTTAGCAGGAGATGAAGCAGGAAACTTTCCAAATCGGAACCTATTGTTCTGGTCCTTACCCTGAGACCCTGCCTGTTTGTCACCAAAATTTACCTCATGAGTTAAAACAAACTCATCTGCCAAGATTGCAGCTGGCTCTAAAGTTACCGCCTTCTGCTCGTTCAAATAAACAGACACAACCTCAGGCAGACAGTTTTTAAACTCTTCAAGCAAAATAAGTTGTCTAAGTTTCTCCTTACTTTCCACCCTCTGAGATGTACACCACCGATCAAACAGACTCTCCTTCTGCTTTGCAAACTCAACATAAGTGTGATGAGCAAGTTTAACACAACTTCTTAAGCGCTGTCGGTAAGCTTCAGGAACTAGCTCATATGCCTTTAATATAGCTGCTTTAACCTCATCATAATCAGTGCTCTTCTCAAGGCTTAGAGCAGAATAAGCTTCCTGAGCCTTACCTACCAAAACACTTTGTAAAAGTAAAGTCCACACATTTCTGGGCCACTTAGATGTGGTCGCCACACGTTCAAAGTGAGAAAAATATATCTCAACATCCTTCTCAGAAAAGGGAGGCACTAACCTAATATGGCTACCAACATCAAACAAAGGAACATCACTTCTAGGAGTTGATCTTTCAGAAGCTGTCTTCAACTCAAACTCCTTAAGAAACCGTTCATGTTCAAGATACATTTGTTTCTCTTTAAATTGCCTTTTCCTCTCCCTAGCCTCCAGCTGTTTCTCCTGTAAAGCTAACTCCTTAAAGGGGTGGTTGACTGGTTTTTTTATAGGCTTGATTGTGTTTATGGGGTGCAGTCTAACATGTGTTAATGCTTAGTTTGTTAAAAAACGCATTATTTTTCACATAATTTACCTTTATTCCACACCTCTCTGTTCCTTCTCCTCTGAACGCGCTGATCATTTCCTGCTTTTATGAAGCCCCTCCCTCAGAAATAGGTGATGGGCTCTGATTGGTTAGCTGGCCCGGTGTGTTGTGATTGGCTAAACTGCCTCTAGCGCATGTCTAAACGTCCCGCCCCTCAACATAGCGGCATGCGCTCCGGTTCTATTGTAAACAATGACGTCGTCTATATTGCTTATCAATTTGAGATGCAGAGGATATTAGTGAAGAGGATCGTGCAGAACCTGTGCAAGCACTGCTTTTAATGGTAGGCCTAAGATTTGTGTTTGTTGTTGTCTCATACTTTTTGATACAAAGAAGCCATTACTAAACTCAACTCCAACTAAACTAAAGTGCTAACAACAAAAGCACAAAACACGAATGGAGTCTTTCACTACTTGTACAAACGTACAACTAACACCACAGGTCCACAGTAGTACAAAACTACAAAAATAACACGAAGCAGCAAATTTACTCACACAGAAGTAGAACTAAATAACCCAGTAAACTACGAAAGATTACTCACCCCAAACAAGCAACAGCTCACTAGTCAGCAATCACAAATATATTATACTGGGCATTAGTCTACACAAAAGTCCACAAAGGAACATCACACAAAAGCTGCTAGCACACTAAAGTTAGGATCATGGACCACACAAACACAAAAGTGGCAGAACTTTTAACTCACCTAACTTAAATACTCTCCTCTTACTCCCTCCAAAAAGTGAGCATGGTTGCTGAGCCAAACATAATACAAAATACATGAGAAACACCCAGGTACCTGCCTAACATTTCCTAACCCCTATCTATCTTCTGAGGTGTACCGGGCACGAGGCGACTTTAAAAGCAAAAAACAACAACTATAGACCATATAATCAATGGTCACACAGTTGTGAAATGCTTACCCCCGACAGAGAACAAGTCTCCACCCAGAATAACCTCGAAAATAAAAAAGGCAAAATAACAAAAGAGTGAACCGAAGGAAGGATTGAATGTTCAACCCAGCTGGAATGCTCACCCTATCTAACCGGGGAAACTCATGAATAATCACAAAAATACTCAAACAACCATACTCACCAAAACACATCAATCAAAAAAAAAAAAAACACAGTCCCAAAGTATCAAAAAAATTTTTTTTTTAAGGAAACGGACGAGCCCCCATTATGTTACAACCCTGGCACTAGGGAAGCAACATCAAGGACACAAAAACCCTTACCAGCCATTTTTGTAGGCATTAAACTGCCAGAATTTTAAAAGTCTCAGCTTCAGACAAGGGAGCAACCATGGGTTGTAAGGAAACTGGCCTAACTTTCAAAATACCATTATCAACCAACACATTTCTAATGATGTCCTTTACACTATCCTTTAAACGCTTCTCACTACTGGTAATGGTAATATTATAATGAGAGGCTAATTGCAAGAGTTGATCTTTTGTAAAAAGCTCAAGCAACTCATCTGAAGGTTCCTTTAGGAAATCCTCTAAAGAAGCCATTACTAAACTCAACTCCAACTAAACTAAAGTGCTAACAACAAAAGCACAAAACACGAATGGAGTCTTTCACTACTTGTACAAACGTACAACTAACACCACAGGTCCACAGTAGTACAAAACTACAAAAATAACACGAAGCAGCAAATTTACTCACACAGAAGTAGAACTAAATAACCCAGTAAACTACGAAAGATTACTCACCCCAAACAAGCAACAGCTCACTAGTCAGCAATCACAAATATATTATACTGGGCATTAGTCTACACAAAAGTCCACAAAGGAACATCACACAAAAGCTGCTAGCACACTAAAGTTAGGATCATGGACCACACAAACACAAAAGTGGCAGAACTTTTAACTCACCTAACTTAAATACTCTCCTCTTACTCCCTCCAAAAAGTGAGCATGGTTGCTGAGCCAAACATAATACAAAATACATGAGAAACACCCAGGTACCTGCCTAACATTTCCTAACCCCTATCTATCTTCTGAGGTGTACCGGGCACGAGGCGACTTTAAAAGCAAAAAACAACAACTATAGACCATATAATCAATGGTCACACAGTTGTGAAATGCTTACCCCCGACAGAGAACAAGTCTCCACCCAGAATAACCTCGAAAATAAAAAAGGCAAAATAACAAAAGAGTGAACCGAAGGAAGGATTGAATGTTCAACCCAGCTGGAATGCTCACCCTATCTAACCGGGGAAACTCATGAATAATCACAAAAATACTCAAACAACCATACTCACCAAAACACATCAATCAAAAAAAAAAAAAACACAGTCCCAAAGTATCAAAAAAATTTTTTTTTTAAGGAAACGGACGAGCCCCCATTATGTTACAACCCTGGCACTAGGGAAGCAACATCAAGGACACAAAACAAGTTTACCAAATAAAATAAGGTTTATTAAATAACAAAAAGGAGAAGAAAGAAGGGACTGTGACAAAACAAGCCCAGCTACTGCCAAGCTGGCTGCAGGATCAGAGAGAGAGTGAGAGCATGTGTCCTGGTGTTTAAAATGGCTCCTTTTAGGTGACGTCATTTAACCTGTTGATTGCAGGTGAGCTACTGAGTAACTGCAACAAAACACAAGTTAGAACACTCCCACATAACATAACCTATAGCCTAACCTGACCCAACCTGACCAGCTGTTACCTCTACAGACTAACCTAACCTAAACTAACCTATAGCCTAGCCTGACCCAACCTAACCAGCTGTTACCTCTACAGACTAACCTAAACTAACCTATAGCCTAACCTGACCCAACCTGACCAGCTGTTACCTCTACAGACTAACCTAAACTAACCTATAGCCTAACCTGACCCAACCTGACCAGCTGTTACCTCTACAGGTGGCTCATCTCTCAGAGAAATTAGTGAACAAATATTGTGTGATGATTAACCTCATAACAGGGTTTCTGCAGGTCTTTAAAAGTCTTTATTCACCTTTACACAAATTAAGGCCTGAAAAGCTCTTAAATTGGAGCTGAAAATCACACATTCATAAAGTTGTGGTATTAAATGTTGCATGCACTGAAAAAAATTAATATCTTCCTCAGTATTTCTGTCTTGTTTTCCAGTACAAATATCCAAACATCCTTTAATCACGATACATTTCCTGGAGACGCAAAATGAAGATATGAAGTCTTGTATTCAGAGAAATTGAACAGAATTAATTGAGTTCATGCTTAAAACAAAATAAAACAAATATCTGTCAATGATGTATGAAAACTTGAGTTGCCTTTTAATTAAGTTGATTCATTTCACAGAAAACATAACTTAATTTTTCTTACTCTTCTCAAGTAAATGTATCTTGATTTATGAATCTTTAGCGATTTGCATGAGAAAACAAAACAAAAAATACTGCTTAAAGAAATGGAAGTCTATTGGAAGTATTTTCAAACTGTTGCTAATTAAACTCGTCGTCTGGTCTCTAGATAGAGAATATATTGATACATTGTGTTCCTTTTTGATTTATTCCTTAAATTTTCTTTACTCGCTCTTAAAAAGCTCTTAAATTTACCTTCATTAAACGCTGTTCAAAAGAGTCCTTTTCCTCTTGTGGGTGGAACAACAGTTATAAAAGTGAATAAACATCAAGCCATATTAAACCGCTTCAGTTATGCCAATGACCTACATTATTAATCAGTAGATGAATAATTTTTTTAGATGTCTTTATTGAACATCTGTGTCTTTCCTGTGATGAAAATGTGATTTTAATAACCAAAACCACATGACAAGAATCTTTGAATCATAGGTTTAATGGAGCTTCAGGAGCATATAAATCACTTGATGTGAATCATTTGTGACCCTGGAGCACAAAACCAGTCGTAAGGGTCAATTTTTCGAAATTGAGATTTATACATCATCTGAAAGCTGAATAAATATTAAATAAATCTCAATAAAGCTGAATAAATAATAAAAGCTGAATATAAATACTTTCTATTGATTTATGGTGTGTTAGGAGGACAATATTTGGCTGAGATACAACTATTTGAAAATCTGGAATCTGAGGGTGCAAAAAAATCTAAATATTGAGAAAATCATCTTTAAAGTTGTTCAAATGAAGTTCTTAGCAATGCATATTACTAATCAAAAATTAAGTTTTGATATATTTACAGTAGGAAATTTACAAAATATCTTCATGGAACATGATCTTTATTTAATATCCTAATTTCTTTCACTTTCACTTAAAGATTTTTGGCATAAAAGAAAAATGGATAATTTTGACCCATACAATGTATTCCCAGGTCATCTACCAGATGGATTAAAATGCTGATAAAGTCAAGAAAAGGTGAGACACAAACACATGACAGTATGATTGAAAGGTTCAAATAAAATTTTTTAAAAATAATAATAAAATAAATAAAACACGTTTATTCTCTGGTACCTAAAAAATTATTTGGCGCCTAAGTTTTTCTTATAGAAGCCAATGGCTCCTTACTCTATTTAGTTTTTGTCTGGAGCCTTGTGTAATGTTCCCAGGTCCAGAAACACAGTAAGGACATCAATAAAACAGTCCTTGTGACATCAGTGGCTCAAATTCAGTTTTGCGAAGCTACGAGAATACTTTTTTTTGCGCAAAAAAAAAAAAAACCTTATTAAACGCTGATTATGCCAATTACACTCTTGTGTACTCTCCAAAATGGTGGAAGACGTAACTCGGGGGAGAAGAATTCATGAATAAATTGTTGTTGTTGTTTTTCTTTGTGCTCAAAAAGTATTCTAGTAGCTTCGCAAAACTGAAGTTGAGCCACTGATGTCACAAGGACTGTTTTATCGATGTCCTTACTACGTTTCTGGACCTGGGAACATTACAGTTGTGTTGCTGTCTATGGAGGGTCAGAGAGCTCTCAGATTTCATAAAAAATAACTTAACCCAAGGCATTGGGTTTGAAACGACATGAGGGTGAGTAATTAATTAATTGGAATTTACAAAAATGCACCTAAATAACTCATAGACTATGGAAAAAAATATTCTCTGGTCTGATGAACCTCAATTTCTCATTCATGTCTGAGGGAAACCAAGCACCGCTTATCACCTGCACAGTACCATCCCAGCGGTGAAGCGTGGAGGCAGCAGCATCATGCAGTGGGGTGTTTTTCAGCGGCAGGGACTGGGGAAGTGATCGGAGAAGACGGAAAGCTGAATGCAGCTAAATACAGAGATATCCTTAAAGAAAACCTGGTTCAGAACCTCAGACTGGGCTGAAAGTTCACCTTACAACGTCACAATCACCCTCCGCACACAGCCAAGACAATGCAGCATAGTGACTCTATTAATGTCCTCGAGTGGCCCAGCCAGAGCTCAGACTTAGACCCAATCAGACATCTTTGGAAAAACCTATAAATGGCTGTCCACCGATGGTCCCCAGCCAACCTGACCGAGCTTGATATGATCTAAAGAGAAGAATGACAAAAAAAAAACAAATGCAGATGTGCAAAGCTTGTTGCATCATACCCAAAAAGACCTGAGGCTGTAATTGTTGCCAAAGGTGTTTCAAGTAAGTTTTGATTTAAGGGTATGAAGACTTGTGCAATGTAATTTTTTTTCAGTTTTTCCTTTTTAATAAATTTGCAAAGTTGTGATAAATCTGGTTTATTGCTTTGTCATTATGTTGAGTGGGGAGTAGATTCATGTGGTAAAAAAAACAAAAAAGTAATTTAAAACAGTTTAACATAATGCTGCAACATAACAAAATGTGAAATAAATGAAGGGGTATGAATACTTTTTATAGGCACTGTAGTGCTGAAACCCTGTTGTAATCGTTCGATTTTCCAGGATGCAGTGTTCTCCACGTAAAACTGATCGGTCAGACCAAACCCTGAAGCCCGAGACACACTGCACGATTTTCGGCTGTCCAAGACAAAAGATTGGCATCGTGAAACAATCGTGGCGATTTCTGTGATCGTGGCTCCTAATCAGTGGTCCTATGTCGTACAGTGAGAGAGGTTCAAAGATGGCCGTTGTCACAGTCTTGCAACCAAAGATAGCCTACGGTAATTTTCTGGCAGTGTCAGAAATTCAGCATGTTCATCGCACAGTGTGTTTACAGTAACGACCCACGTTTACTGACCAACCAGTAAAAATGCGACATGAAATTAACGCGACATGGCGCTAAAACATAAAACTGCTTACCTCAGGCTCTTATTCCTTCCTCTTTCGCCACTCCCACTTTTTTTCAGCACACATAAAAACTACAACTGTCAAAGTGTGATTCATTATGCTCTTTTTGTTTACCACTGGCGCATGCTAATGACGTTGTATTCTTCTATAGAAACGTGCGTCGTAGCCTACGAGTCAATAGGTGTCATCATCGTACAGTCTACATGCATGTCGTACCCAAGTTTATTAGATCCATGTCGCACAGAGTGACCAGCAATGATCTTATAGGATTGCTAAAATCATGCAGTGTGTAGAAGGCTTAAGTCGTAGAGACTTCAAACTTTCAGGGCTGGTAGTACTCACACTGCCTACAGTGTCACCAAGGCTCGCCCCAATTGGCCTCACGGGGGCGCTACAGCGGCCAAAAGTATGAAATCAATCATAACTCTCAAATCGTTAGGCACAGACTCAATTGTCTTATAACTCTCAAATCGTTAGGCACAGACTCAATTGTCTTATATTGTTGGAATCCTTGGCTCAAGACGGACAACATGCATGCCTCGGATTCACTTGTTGCTCTGGCGAAATTTTCAGGTATTTTGGATTTTTTGAAAAACCTACTTTTGCGAACTAGTCCTAGGTTTTTGGCCCGATCGCAACCAAACCAGTGCAGCTAGATTCTCATTGTCAATGATTAGTGGTAGCGCTATCACGTGGAAAAAATAAATAAAAATGGCTATAAGTACACCACCCAAAGTCTGATTGACCTGAAAATTGCCATGCGGTGTCTTTGTTCAAGGTGCCAAGACTGCCTTAGAGGACACTGGCGTATATCAAAAAAAAAGTCCTCTGGCAGCCAATGAATTTTGAGCACCTATCGAACAAGCTAAACGAGAGCCAATCAGAACAAAACTCACTGGGTCTGTCTGACTCGCGGCCCTAGAGGCGTGTGAGAAATTCAAAAGAAATCGGCCACCGGGGGGGGTGCCTTCATGTTTTTCAGGTGCGTAAAGGATTGGGTATCGCGCAATTTATCATACACGCCCACACCATTCGTACTGCATGGTAGAGCTCCTCATTCTGAGCAACTTTGCCTCTCGGACCACCGCTATCAATCAAACCGTTCACCAAATATTGGAGATTATTTCGAAAACCAACTTTTATGAACTAGGCCTAGGCATCTGGCTCAACCTCAATAACTGTTAAAAACATTAAAACACATACAATTTCTTTGTAAATTGACTGTATTGGTTGCCTTTCCCTCTATGCAGTAAGTTTTTACATGCTAAGGAAAACAGTACTTTTTTGCACATTATTTTAAGAACCTTAACGCACTTGAACCCTGATAATTGCTGCTTGCAGCTATATTTTCTTATTTACTTTGCAGTCTAACATTTGCTTTTTTTAAATGAGACCACCTCGATGACATATGCAGCCTTTGAATGTGACCTTCGGAGGAAGCAGCCTCCAAAATGAGACGCAGCAGAAGGTTTATATTGAGCTTTATGAGCCCACTGAACCTGATCTAAACCAGGTTGGATTTGTTTGATTTTGTCAACTCTAAACCTACTAACTCTCCCTAATAATTAATCATTTATTTCTCCCTCTTCATGCTATAAACTGAATTTATACTTTGAACTGAGCATAATTAAATTTAGTTCATCCAGTCATCATTTACTCATCCTCACGTTATCCTCATGATTCAGTTCAAATCATTCAAATATTAGTTCATTTCAAAGTTCATTTCCACCCGTTCACTGACACTTTATACAATAAGTTATTTTTAAGAAAAAAAGAACACAAGTTTCTGCCCGATTTTCCTTTATTTATAGTTTTTCAGTTTAAGTGCTTGAACATTTTGAGTATTCAGAGTTTTGTTTAAAACTTACATTCCAAGCAAGTCAATTTTAAATGGAGATACATGCAATATAATCACTGTGTGCTGTTTTTAATATGACAGATCACACTGTTGTAGAACCTGCTCTGCTTTGCGGTTCAGATTCTAGATTACAGGTTCTGGGGAGATGACGCGGCCCCAGAAGACGATGCTCTTGGTGGGGTTGTGGCGGATGAAGAAAAGAAAGGGGGATTGTACAGTGAAAAGCTCTGAGATTTCTTTACCATCTGTCTGGACAACTCCACCACCGCCTGCTTGTGCATCTGTGCCTTCCTTGTCCACCTCAACAACAGACTTATGCACCACTTTGGACAGCTTCAGCTTTCCAGGCGCCATGCCAGATAAGTCACACTTATCACTAAAGAGGTCAATTATTCCCAGAGCCTTCAGGGCTTTCTCCAGGTCATATTTCTCCTTCAGTGTAAACATGGGCATTATAACTTCCACATCTGTGGGAATCATATTGTCCGGCTCAGTCCACTCCATAATCTTTGCATAAGTGATCGAGTCGACCAGCTTAGAGGAAGGAGAGAAAAATAACAGACAGGCAGAGAGAGATTTTTAATTGTTTCCCATTTCATGTAATACCAAACCTACACAACAATCCAAATTTTTATGTAGACTTTATCCTAATAATGCAGTTCCAAGTGAAGTAAAAGCAGTAAGGGAGGTTCAGTTGCTGTTCATGTGACTGACTGTTTTACCTTTGGTAGGGCATCGCTCTTGTTTGGGAGTATAATGAGCATGCTCAGATCATGATTCTCATAAGGGATCTCCAGAATCTGAGCTTCAGCGGGAAGTTGATATTGTCTGTGTGGGATAGTTCCCAGGGGAAGGTAATCCGTTTTACCCATCATTGGCCAATCTACTCCTTTGTCCTGACATTAAACACAGACAGATTGGACATTAGTGATGCTGTTAGCACTTGGACCTGCAGTGTTAGCTGTGCTGCAGTCTCCCTTCCCTTACAAAAAATTAGTGTACTTCATGTTAATTGTTATTAAGCACACTTAAGTACAGTTCGAGTATATTTTTAAGTATACTAATATCAATGTAATAATAGTGTACTGTTTTTATATAGTTGTAAATGCCCCGATGTACTTCAAACGAAATCGAAGAACGAACTGATATGACGTCATTTCGAACAAAATCAGGCCGAAAAGAAGTTGGTTTTGAGTTTGTTTCGGCAGTTCGAAACAGCTGACCAAAGCTAACTTTCTGGGGGAGTTCGTTTTGGCTCCTAAACACCCTTGAGTTTCCATTGGTCCGTGGCGGTTACGCAATCGGTGGGTGTGTTCTGGAACTCCACCTTCTTTGACGTGTGATTTTTTTCCCTCCCCCCGGTTCGTTTCTCATTCTACGGAGGTCTGACCATAGAACAACATCTGAATACACTGGAGTGTCGAATAGCTGAGCTGCACAAATATATCCACACCTGTACGATCGCTCGCGGAGAGACTTTAAGTCTAAGGAGTTATGCAAAAAGCGACACCGAGAAACATCCAAGTTTTCCAAAGCCATGAAAAGATTGAAAGGAAAGAGTAAAGATATAAGGTAGCATGTATCAAATACATGTGTTTCAAATAAATGTTACACCATACTGCTGCTGTTGTTGTTCTTTCAATAAGCGTATTTAAAGGGTATACAATAAATGAAATGCCAAACGAATATACAATAATAAACCTTTGTTTTTATCAAAAGTAAATAACATATAAAAAGGTGTAACAATTTATCCAGTTTAATCAAATAAATGAACACTAATAAAATAAAGTAACAAACTGACTCCAATATTTTTCTCTTTATAAAGGACTGATTATGGAAATAGAATGGTTCTTTTGTATTGCAAACATGATACTTGACTCTGAACTGCTGCTAATCATTATTCTTTTGTCTTTAATATTCTGACCATTGGTGCCCGTCTCACACTAGATTGCCTACACTTCATCATTTCATCGTTGTTGTGTTTAGGGGATACGCACGAGTGTCGCGACACACGTTTATATGAATCTACACCCCGCCTCCAGCAGGGCGGGGGTGTTGGAAAGTTCGGAAACAGTATACCGTCGCTCAGCCTTTAGAACTTATTTTTGCCCCCAAACGAAGAACGAAAACGAACTTCATTTGAAGTATATCGGGGCCTTAAGTGTACTATTTCAGTACTACTTGGGGCTAAATTGGCTCACTTTTAAGTGTATAAAAGTATACTATTAAGTAGACTTCATGTTTAATAGTAGTAACTGAGTACACAATTATTATAATTTTTTTTTTGTACTGCAACTATACTACAAGTGAACTTATAGGTATGCTTATAGTTTACTAGTTAAATAATTGTAGCACATATTTTAGTTCATGAAAGTTTAGTGTACTCTCAGTAAACTACTAGTTTAGTAGTTTTATACTGCAAGTATGCTTGTAAGTTTTCTTTAAACGAACTTAACTTCATACTGTTTATATATTATTTTTGCACTTTAAGTATACTTCTATGCTCCTATTTAGGTATTAATGTTTATACTCAAAATGGAAAAAGGTCTGCACTCTAAAAACAGTTTTATTAATTTCAAGCAGGAGATAAAAACAGTGCAAATATTTTGGTTCTCTGCCTTCGTCTGGAAATATGCCTTTAACTGTACTTACACTCTTTCTCCACCAGCGGTTTGTTTTTTTAATGTTGCCAGCAGGCACCAGCATTTCTGATCATTTTCACAAAATTTTCACGGCCCCCAGAACATTTTGTTGTATGAACATGTGAATATGCAATATATCAAAGAAAAAAAAATCTAACTTTACAGGGATAGTTCACCCAAAAATGAAAATTAGCCCATGATTTACTCACCCTCAAGCCATCCTAGGTGTATATGACTTTCTTCTTTCAGACGAATAATAACATTGATCCTGGCTCTTCCAAGCTTTATAATGGCAGTTTGTTTGTTTGTTTGTGTTTAATGCCATGCCAGCTTCTGTGGCTGTTTTCATGACGAGAATTTATTTATTTATTGGTTAAATTATATCAAGCTTTTACAATCTATTTTCGCTAAAAACTCTTAAAATTGTATTTGGCTGAACTCCGTTAAAAATGTCTTAAATAGTTTTATAATGGCAGTGAATGGTGGTTGAGATTTTGAAGCTCAAAAAAGTGCATCCATCCATCATAAAGCGACTCCACACGGCTCCGGGGGGGTTACTAAAGGCCTTCTGAAGCGAATCGGTGGGTTTTTGTAAGAAAAATATCCATATTTAAAGCTGGATGTTCTGCTATATAAAGTTTTAAATATGGATATTTTTCCTACAAAAACCCCCTGATTCATTTCAGAAGGCCTTTAGTAACCCCCCGGAGCCGTGTGGAGTCGCTTTATGATGGATGGATGGATGCACTTTTTTGAGCTACAAAATCTCACCCCATTCACCGCCATTCCTGAAGGACCAGCAGCACATCCTCATGTACCACTGTTTGAAGAATCTATCTTCCAGAATCTGGCAGTAAGTTTTGGAAAATCGTTGTAGTCCATCTCTGTAAGACAGACTTTTCAGGATAGGAAATGGATTAAAAATGATATCCATAGTTAAAACTTTATAAAGCAGCTGTTTTTTTCTGGCCCTACTGACCCAGTGAGCATTTTTCTGTCCGATGGTCATGCCTTAACTCTGCAAGTTCTACTATTGCATTAGTATTGCATCCTCATGGGCATTTAATCATTTTTGACCTTTCAGTCCAAGTTAAAAATCTATTTTTTGGCTAATTTTATCTGTTAAAGAAATCTGCATAATAATTATGCACACCTGAATATAAGGTGTTTGTCAACTTACAGCCTTCATGAACAGTTATATATATTACTTATAAATGATTAAATGTAAAATGAATAGTAGTTATTTATGGGATTGATGTGGAATTGGTAAAATGTGCTTGGAAAAAAATATGATCCAAAAATTAACTTGCATAATAATTATGCACTCACTGTACAAATTTCATTCTCTCGTATGTCAACCTGTCCAGAATGAAAACAAACGGACTGAAATGCAATGAGTAAGGAGTGTTGTTTGGCACAATAACAAGCTGAGAACTGCACATAGATGTAGATCATCCAGCAATTTTTAGCAGACAAAGCTGAATTGTCTTGACAAAGTTACCTTGTTGGTGTCAGGTTCGAAGCCGGTGGCCCACTTCTTCTTGAAGTACACTGCGCTGATAAGAGCAAGACTCGTGTCCTTAGACACATCTCCTGGATCCAACAAATCCTTCAGTTGATCTAAAAACACCAATCAGAAGAGTGAGAAATTATGAGAAAGTGGTCTAATAGACTATAGTCTAATAGTTGAAAACAAATACACTTTAATTGATTTACGGTAAGTCTTATTCTCCACCCAGCTATTGATCTTTTTTCTCGCAGCATCAGGATCCGTCTTGAAGTCAGCATTCCTCAAGCTGGCAAAACACCACTCCTCACATTCGTCTAGGAAATTCTAACATCGTCAGTAGAAAGAGAGGGAACACGGATTACAATAACATCAATGTTCTGACCCAGACATCTCATTGAATGATGCATTACTTTACTGCCATTTTCAGGAAGTAAATTAACCATTTGCTGTGCTTTCTCAACCAACTCACGTCATAAAAAGTGACTGTCTTTTCTCCAAACATGCGATTAACCAGCTGCAGGCTTCTCTTCTTATCTTTAGTCTTGTACTCCCCTTCTTTGTAGAGCTCCTCATACAGATAGTGGTACATAATTCTCATTTTGCCAAAGTGGAGGGCCTTAAGAGAAACACAACAAAATATTGTTTAATATTGAGTGAAATGTATTCAGAGAATTTGAGACTGCGGAGTGGGCAGTGTTTTGAATTTTGCAATGTAGAATCGCAGCAATCAGTGCATTAAAGGGGACCTATTACACAAAATTAACTTTTACATGGTGTTTGAACATAAATGTGTCGGCAGTGTGTTACACAACCACCATGAAATAAAAAAAATCCACCCACTCCTGGTTTATATTCCCTGTAAATCATGAACAGTGTCTCAAAATGAGTTGCCGCATTTTCTATACACTGTGACATAATGTAACGACTGATGGAATCTGTCCTGTTAGATCCTTCCCTGAGTGAGCGGCACACAGCCTGCCATCTTTATCTCCTCACCAGTGGAAACACAAAGTGTGTCAGCTATAAACAATCTAAATGTTCTGTTGTATGCCATATCAGTAAACACAGAATGCATTCTTCCATGCCACTGTGCAACTTTTGCATCACATTTCACAGCGTCTTGTGCAGGAAACGACGTTCTAAAAATGCAGCGCTCAAGTTAAAAGTAGTTATAAAATGCATCTTGACACCTTGACACATTAAACACTTGAGTATTAATGGCCCTGAATGGGAGAAAAAATGCAAGGTCTGTGTTTACATATAAAATAAAAAAGCAGCACGGTGGAATGCAAAAATGCATGTGGAAACGGCTCCATGATGTTTCTCCTGTTTTTTTTTTTTTTTTGGTTGTTTGTTTTTGTGCCAGAGTATCTGTATAAAGTATCTTGTAAAAAGGGGCATAATAGATCCACTTTAAAGCATTGATAAACATGAGATGACAGTTTATATAGAGTTTATATAGAACTATTTGGAGGTTTAAGCACACCTTAAACATCTGATCAGCAGTCGGATTTGGTGGTTCATGTTTAGCAGGGTCGCGCATGGCACCCAGGAGGACCAGGCCCAATGCAGAGGAGATGCTCAGGGGTGAGAATAACACATTGCCTGCAGTGGCCTTACAGAGCACTTTTAACAAGTCAATGGAGAATTTTGAGTTTGCCAAAATCACTGGTTCCATCATTTACAGACTAGAATGAAAGAAATTCAAATAGAACATCGTGTTAGACCAGCACAGAAAACAGTATAGAAGTACAAGAATGAAAAAAATCAGAAGACAAAGTTTACATTCTGTTCAAACCACAGACGAGCAACATTTATTTCACCTGATTTGCCCACCTAATATGTGAAAAGTCAAATGTAGAAGTTGATATGCTATCAAAACAAATCAGAACAGCCCAAAGAAAAAAAACAATTAAAGGAACCCTCTTTCTCTGAATGAAAAATATTTTCAGTTTTCATCCTGGTCTACCACACCTGTAATAGCATATTTACTTTTACATCCATACTCTGCAGAAGTTATCTGGTGGAAAGTGACTAAGCTAACCTCTATCAGCTAACCTCAAACAAAGTGCAGTAACCATAAAAAAAAAGAGAAATCAAATCAATATTTGTTGGGCCCACAATTTGCCTGCAGAATACCAGTTGCTTGATCTGTAAAGTGTCTGTGTACTATCAAAAATCTCACAGGATTATTAAATTATTTGCAAAATAAATGTTAAAATTAATGAGGTGAACCTGAAGTTAATATTTACTAAACACAGTAAAGCAGAAGATACAAAATTACCATCTTAATTCAAATGTTTTCATGAAACATTTTGCACCGTACGTGTATATCAAATGTTACAACTACTGTTATAGAAATACTTACTGATGAAGAACGCGATGTTTCGATCTCTTCTTGATATGAGGTCTGTCTTCACTGTCTCTTTCTTGTTCCCTCAGTGCTTCCAGTTATAGATATATATAGGCTCAAGAAAAAAAAAGAGAAATCAGCCATGGTTTCTTAGGAACTCTTGTGAAATCAAACATCTGAAGGAAAACGGTTGTATGTGAAAAGGATTGCATGTCATGTCCTGTTCATACTTGTATAACAATACACCACTCTTTCCAGATAACTTGCAAGCTGTTATACCTTAATTCATTTTTATACTTCCAGATAACCTTGACCTGGCAAGGGTTCAAGAACATGATTCCAATTACATTGATGATACAAAAATAAAGCAACAAAATTAATCTGCAGATTGTCTGTTTACAGATTTCCACATCATGCAACACTTGGTGCTTCTTAACAAATATCAGTGCACCAATTGAGACAAGAAAAGACAGATTATGCTATTATGCTTATTAGATAATGCAGAGTATGCTGCTAAAAGCTGATATCAGAACAAGCAATCTTGGAAAATATATATATATTTTTTTCTATACAGAAAATGTGTTATTCTCACCCCTGACTGCCATCTAGACAGCAAAAATAATGATAAATATAGCTGCAAGCAGCGATTACCGGGGTTCAAGCGCTTTAGGTATTTAAGCACATAAGGAACAAGACATTACATATTATTTAGCAAGCCTGTAGCCACCTAAATCAATCATTTCAAAAGCATTTTTGGCAAATCCAGGTGATTTACCATAGAAATATTATGTTTTTATAATGTTTATGACTGTTATAGCGCCAGCTGTGGTCCGATCTCTCTCAAACGTAGCACGCTTGTTTAGAATCACCTGTCGCATGGGCACAGCGGGTTTCGTGAAGTTTTGAGTTTTCGTTGAGGCTTTATAGCAGTGTTCATTTTGACAGCAAATTTTGATTTAGTTTTAGTCATAGACTTTTGACGAAAATGCCATTTAGTTTTAGTCATATTTAGTTATATCTGAATTGTTTTAGTTTTAGTCGACTAAATATCATACAATTTTAGTCGACTAAAATCTAAAGGGTTTAGTTAAATTGTAATGCATTATTATTATTATATTTTCTGTTCTGGTTATTTTAGTACATCAGGTTAAGCTGAAGTTTAAATGAAACAAAATATGTTTTTTTTTTATTTCTGTATTTAGATATTCATTTCCTTTTGTATAGATTTGTTTTATAATTTCAGTTAACATTTATTTTATTTCAACTAATGAAGAATATTTTTATTGTTTTAGTTTTACCTATAAAAACCTGATACTAGTAAAATGTATTTATTAAATAATATTTTGAATAATGTCCTTAGTCTGTCCATCCTGTGATGGGGAATCCCAGACAGAACCTACAATAGTTGTTAATTAAATGTAAATTATATCAAATTAAACTAAATACAGTTTATATACCCAAAATATCAATAATGACCAGGAAAAAAGCATGAACTACACAGTGACTCTTATTTTGAAATGTTTGCACTGTTGACTGTACAGATGCAGCTGCTCATTCAAGTTCAGATGAGGGAAATAAAATATGCATTCTTACAACCGTCTAAAACATATTACCATATAAACATCGTATAGTAAACATTGTCATAATTCATCAACATTAATTCATAAGCAATCGCTTGGCATAAATGTACGCTATTTATTGATTACAACCTGCGCTGAAGTCTGAAGCGCTGCTGCGCGAGCCTGTAGACTAGAGCGTGCGCAACAGCGCCGTGTTTTCCCGCGGTTAGATCTGGACAGTGCAATGCAAATATACATAACTACCACATAAGACATCAGTTCTGACTGAGTCTGACTGGATGATATCTTCCCAAACCGTCCTTCCCTAACATTTTCGTCTCGTTTTTATTCGTTGATGAAAATGAAAGTATATTTTCGTTTTAGTTTTTGTCATTAAAAACTGATTTTTATTTAGTTATAGTCTCGTTTTCGTCGTTGATGAAAATTATGACGAAAATAATTTGTCAACGAAATTAACACGGCTTTATTGGCTTTTGGGCATATTTGGACAGGCCCCTTTTGTAAAGGACCCTGTTACAGCTTCTCAAAGGGTAAATTTCAACATGTTTTTGATCATTATCAACCTAGAGAGTCCAGAGAATTGCACTGCGGTGGTTTTTTCCAGACAGAGCGAAAACCTAGGACTAGTTCGCAAAAGTAGGTTTTTCACATCTTCTCAATCATTTAAAAAACGGTTTGATTGACAGCAGTGGTTCTAGAGGCACAATTGTTCGGAACGAGGAGGTCTATCATATGATACTAGTATCGCGTGTATGTGCGGAAAACTGCGCAACGTACAATCGTTTACGCCGTTAAAAAATGTGATACTGCCCCCCCAGTGGCCGATTTGTTTCAAATTTCTCACAGACCTTTGGGGCCGTGAGTCAAACAGGCCCACCGAGTTTAAGCCTCCGTTAAACTTGTTTAATAGGTGCTCAAACTTCATCGGCCAATGGCAGCCATGTTTTTTTTTGAGATACGCAAATGTCCCCATATACACTTGTGGAACATTGGACCAGGACCGGGCACAGCCATTTTCATGTTGATAGGACAAACGGTTGCCTAGTTACAGCCATTTTTATAGCGCCGCCAAGTGGCCGATTTTTTTCTTGTGACCTCAGCTTGAGCTCATACATAAGTGTTCCGAGTTTGGCGAAGATATCTTATTCCGTTCAGGAGTTATAGGCATTTTACTAAAAGTGGTCCTGCCCCCTTCGAAAGTTTTGGCGTCCCTTTGCGACGGTGAGTCGAAACGTCAACTTTTTTTTTGATAATTATGTATATTCACTCTCTCGGGCGAAAAACCTAGGACTAGTTCACAAAATTAGGTTTCGCAAAAAATGCAAAATACCTGAAAATTTTCCAAATACATAAGGGATTCCAAAGACATAAGACACTTGAGCCCGCGACTGACCGTTTAGGAGTTATGAGCGATTTCGTACTTTCGATCGCTGTAGCGCCCTCGTCAGGCCGATTGGGGCGAGCCTCAGTCACATTGTAGACGGTGTGAGTACTACCATCCCTCCAAGTTTCAAGTCTCTACGACTTACGGTTTGGTCTGCACGACCAGTTTTACGTGGAAATCGTTCATCCATGACCATTCTAACAATTACAATAGGGTTTGAACCCCTAATTAGAGGTGTTCGACTCCAGGTTAGGAGTCAATGGAATCGACTTCCATTTGCTCCATTTACTTTAAGTTAAAACAGGGTCGGCAACATAAGAATACAAGTTTGGATCATTATTACACACTGAATGTAAACTATTTTCTGACACAAAGTCAAAATCTATGCATTCTATGCATAATTTTAAAGAGGGAAAACTCACGAGAAAAAGCTTTGGGTGAATATTATTTCACTTCTGAATAAATGACAGAAAAGAATGGTCAGGTGAGGGCAATAATTGCATTGTCATTTCTTGTAAATATCGCAAAAAAAAAAAAGTACATACATTAATAAAAATTGTAAATACATACAGTAATGTATTAATATAATATTGTGAAAGAAAGTGAAGTGAATATTAAGTACATTAGTGTGCGAAAATAGAGCACTTTAAGTACATTATGGATGTGCAATTGTTTTACACCTGGGTTGGTGATTCTTCGACTCTGACAGTCCGTAAAAGCATACTAAGCTACAGTTCTGATCATAAGTTTCATACCCCTTACAGAATATGCACAATTTTAATAGTTTTAACAAAACAAGAGGGAACTGGAATCATAAAAATTGCATGTTATTTTTATTTAGTACTGTCCTGAATAAGCTATTTCACTTTACAGATACATATACTTACATATAACATACAGTATACTCCGCAAGGCAAAATGACAGAATTTATACAAACTGCCACATTCAACCTTTGACCTATACTCTTGAATCTGAACTGATGATCTGACTGTTTTCATGTTTGTGAGTCCCTTGTTTAAGTAATTTGTTTAGGCAATTGTGACTTTTTATCTCACAATCCTGACATTTTTTCTTGTGATTGCAAGCTTATTTCACGATTCTTACCTTTTTTGTACCTGCACTCACTCACATCATTAACACATCCCTTCACACTGGTGTTTTTCCCTCAGCATTTAGACAGGCTCGTATAACCCCACTACTTAAGAAACCCACCCTTAGCCCATCTCCCTAGAGAACTACAGACCGGTTTCCCTTTTTCCTTTCATTGCAAAAACCCTTGAACGAGCTCATGGCATCACTAGGTTCTGTCATTCAGAAACATGTCTTTTCATATCACTGCTATGCTGATGACACTCAACTCTACCTCTCATTCCATCCTGATGATCCGACGATAGCTGCTCGCATCTCAGCTTGTCTAACAGACATTTCTTGCTGGATGAAGGACCATCACCTTCAACTCACTCTTGCCAAGACAGAACTGCTTGTGGTTCCGTCAAACCCATCGTTTCATCACAATTTCACCATCCAGTTAGGCACATCAACCATAACTCCTTCAAAAACAGCCAGAAACCTTGGAGTTGTGATTGATGATCAGCTGACTTTTCTTTCAAATCAAAGCTAAATACACGTAGAAACAGCGCATCCTTGTGGCGCGGCTGATACAGAAGAGCATACGCAGCATACGGTGATATGGAGAGACACAGAGGAGCCTGTTGACAAAGGAATTGTTGAATAAAGTCGTTATTTTTGTTTTCTTCGCTTACAAAAAGTATTCTCGTCGCTTCATAACATTACGGTTGAACCACTGATGGCAGATGGACTATTCTGACGATGTCTTTCATACTTTTCTGGACCTTGACAGTGTTATTTACTTGGCAGGCTATGGGACAGTCTTAAGCCTCCCGGTTTTCATCCAAAATATCTTAAATTGTGTTCCGAAGACGAACGAAGCTTTTACGGGTTTGGAACGACATGGGGGTAAGTGATTAATGACAAAATTTTCATTTTGGGGTGGAGTATCCCTTTAAGCTATTTT